TGTCCTTAAGGGATGTCGTTGTTTACCCGTCTTTGCCATCATGAGGTTCACATATGACAAATTGGTCAAGCTATTTGCTGATAGGCGAACCAATGGATATTTGTGGCAACAATCTGGGTATAATTTTCCAATGAATGTGTGGAAAAAGATCAAGCACAATGAAGAAAATAGGCTTTATTGTCGTGTTGTGCAGCACCACGCACAACATGGGATATACTCTGTGGTTGTGGATGGGTCCTTCAACAATGGTCACCGCGAGACATTTGCGGTGAATTTAAATGCACGGACATGTACTTGTGGATATTGGGTAATATATCACATTCCGTGCATTCATGTTCACGTAGTATGTCATCAGTGTAGTGTCACTGTGGATCATTTGATTCCTAATTTTTTTTCACTCCAGTCCTACATCAATGCTTATTCGGGCATCCTAATGCTGCTTCCAGATGAGGCCAACTGGCCTACTCCAGGATACGAGATTGTGAGACCAACTGCACGAGCGAGAACACAAACCGGTCGACCAACAAGAACTCGCTACCCGAATAACATTGACTACCGACCACGACGACGTCGCAATGAACAATAGCTATATCATGGATTTCAAATGTTCAAGTTTATGTTTTCTGATTTTAACAAAATAAACTAGTTATGTCATGTGTTTTGTATCCTAAATTTTATGGATAAATTTTATGTACTCTATCAATAAATTTGTTATAATTTACTTCTTATTTTTAATTTAGTGTATGATGCATTATTTAAAGTCAATAAATATTTATTTACTTTATGAAGTTGTTGTTGGTAGATTGTTTGTATCATTATATGTCAATAATTTTTTCACATATATGAAATAAAACTAAATAATTCATTTTTAAAAAAATACACGGAACGGAGTTGGCTACTCCGTTTAGGCATTTAATTAATAGGAACAGAGTTAGCTACTCCGTTTCCTTATTTAAATCATTGGAACGGAGTTGGCTACTCCGTTTCTGGTGAATCCTGCAGATGAAACGGAGTAGGCTAATCCGCTTTGCTTTATTTGAGAAAGTATATACTAAAGTTACATATAATGGAATACAAAACAACAAACTTACACATGCAGGGAAATCACCCTACCAGTTTAAAGACTCTTTATAACTTAGAAGAGCTAGGAATCTTTTATAAGAGACCAAGAGAAGTAAAGTTTCATTTGACCTTGATTTTGATTTTTGTGAGTTTGATTTTTAGAATTAACTCTGTTTATCAGAATTAGTTTATTCTGTAGAATCAAGTTGTTGATTACTTTTTAAAAATAAATTCTTTGCAGCTGATTTATTCAGAATCTAAAATGTGCTAGAGGGTATTAAATTTTGCTAGAGTAGCAAAATTTAAAAATTGCTAATGGGATGGAGAAAAATTGCTAATGGGATGGAGAGATATTAAAGAACAAAAGTGGTATGGAAATGTTCTTTATTCATTCTCATGGTTTAGAAGTCAATGGATTTTTCTTTTTATCTTGATTTTATAGAATATGAAATGCAAAAATTGAAATCAGATATATGGAGATTAAAGTTTATTCAAAGGTATGTATCGTAAAGCAAAGTTTTGTAAACCCATTCTATTTTAAATAAAAAAAAAATTAGGGAGTACTTTATAGAATATTAAAGTAGTTTGAAAGTGTGACGTATAACTTACTCTTATCATTCACTTTTAGCTGATCATTATGATTTTTATAGTACTTTAAAGGTTGAATAAATATGGCACTTCAGGGTTACATTCACTCATAAAAGTCATAATAGTCGCTTAAAAAAGAATAGGAGTGTGAGTTTTGATCATAAAAGTCATAATAGTCCCTTAAAAAAGAATAGGAGTATGAGTTTTGATATTTTAGATTTTTAGTAGAAATAAAATGCATAAAGAAAAAAGTAGAATTATATCTATGGGATGTATGGTTTTTATAGTATAAACTGAGGAGTATAGTTACCGTGATGGGCTAATACTCCTTCATTATTTTAAAACAGTAGAGAGATTGTTTAAAAAAACCGGCAAAGAAACTAAGAGCACAACACATAATACACTAGTAACAAACCCAATGTATAGAAATGACACTTGCACATGCTACAAAATAAGGTAAAAATACAAACAAATATTACATACTAAGGGCCAAAGATCAACCCAATCAAATTTTAGATCTTCAGACTTCAGATAAGGTTTTATCATCGATGATTCATTTATCAATGTACCGAAAAAAAGTAAAAAACCATACAAAACAGTGTTGGTAAAAAAAAGCAAGTAGGGAGGGAGTATAACAAGTGTTTGGTTTTTTTTTTCATTGGGACGTCCAAAAAGAAAAACTATGAAACTTTTTGCAAGATAGGGTGTCCTATATTGAGTTAGTATAAAGAGAAGAACATGACTAAAAGGAACTACAATTAACCAAAGATATGTAGTGGTCTAGTGGAGTATTACAGTACTGCAGCATATAGTCTTAAAAAATAAATATAAATCTAGAACCAAAGATGAAAATGTGACAATTTTCATCTTGGGACATGGAAAACAGAAGGTGAAAATCACAAGCCCAAGAAGCCCAGTTCAGTGGCTTTCTCCTTCTCAAAAGTCTCAAAATACTGATAGATGATTGTGACAGCAAGAAGAATACCGGTTCCGGAGCCGATGGCGCCCATCATGTCCGCCAACACAGTCAATGCGCCGATGCACATTCCTCCAAATGCAGCCGCAGTGGGGATGTAACGGTTCAGTTCCTTCTGCAGATTCGAGTCCCGGTGTCCGGGCATCACCATTTGTTGCTCCTGCAATCGTGGTAGTAGTAGTAGTAGTAGACTTGTTGTTAGCACGAGTGGTCATTAAATGGTAGAGATTAATTTTGAAAATATTAAAGCTAAAAGTTACCGTTAGATAACCTTTTTCAAAAGGCTAAAACTAAACAAGAAAGCTGCTACCAGATGGGCAAAATGTGTGGTTTATAGGGAAGAGGGTGTATTCATAAAGGGTGTGCTTAGATTTCATATGTGTGTTTGTTTCTTTTTTTTATTTTTTGGGAGGGAGGATTAGATATGCAATCACGTATTAGGTTAATCTTTCAATGGTTATAAAATCGCAAGTACATATCGACATATAATGATATAAACCAAGCCTCGAGTAGGTGCAAAAATGACTTCAAGCCACTTTTACAAGGTCGAACCCAAACATAGAGCAATATAGCTATGTTACGGAGTTTGATGAAGATATATAGAGCACTGCAAAGATACCCTTCTTATCTTCGCAGCTTTACCCAAATTTAAACGTATTGATGTTAACTGTTAAGAATCATCTTACCTTAAGTTGTTTGGCAACATCTCTAGCTGAAGACCCAGAAACTTCAATCCATGTCTTCGAGAAAAGCGCACAAGCAGAAAGCATGAACACTATGTAGAAAAGAGCATGGAATGGGTTCGCCATCATGTCCGCCAGGCTGGCACAATGTTGCACACAAAAATATTACTCATGTCTAGGGTTTACAATCTCAAAAAAAAGCAGTTTCTCCAAACAAGAACATGCACTTAAGAAGAAAAAGTATATGGAGTATATATATTAGTGTTATATCTTCCAACTAATCACCTTGATGGTGCAGTAACATAGTAAGCAAGTCCACCAACAGGGACAGACTGGCCAGAGTATTCAGATTGCTTCCATATACCCAACAAATTGACAAGGAAGTTTCCACCGTACTTCCTGTATAGCAACTGTACATGCCAAGCTATTAGATAATCGAAATAACATGCTTTTGACAGTTATTGGAGTAAATACCCAATTTGGTCCCTTGGTTATACTCTAATTGGCTTTTTTAATACACGAAATTTGGTCATCAACCTTGCAGTTTGGACCAGTATAAAAATGACAAATGCATTTTCATTGATTCACAAAATCCAGACCTGGTTTATAAGTCAATTTGGTCCTCAACTAAGTAATTTGGACACAATTTTGAGATGTGCAGATGAAAATGCCCTCCACAATCAGAATGCATATGCACGAGGACCAAATTGAGACATAATTTTTTGAGGACCATATTGACTCCAAAAAAAAATCAAAGACCAATTTGAGTAATAATATATAGTCGAGAGACTAAATCAAGCATTGACTCTATATTTTGCAGAAGAATCTCAGGTACCTGAGATATGAAATAAAGGTTGGATACAAGTGCAGATTGAAGAATTATGGGCATGTTGGAGGTATAAAATAATTTGATTGGATAAGAGCCTTGTTGTCCACGTGCATTCTTTGATCTTACAGGAAGGACCACGCGAAAACCTTGGAAATAGTTGACAACGCAGAAGATCAAAACTGTGGCAAGCAGATTGGTAACATTGGGAAGATTTTGTCGGTAGAAAGCCTCTCTGAGAGCCCTTACTTTGTCTGTCCGAGCTATCAGTAGATGAAACAAAGCAATAATAGCACCTTCAAACTCAGCTCCACGACCAGTATTAATGGTTGTTGGACTGAATGCTTTCCAGATAATACTTTCACTGAGACATCAGTATAAAATTAAGCAATCATTAAAAATGCACAATGAGAAAAAACCTGTAAGTAAAAACAGTTGGAGATAACACTAATTTGTAATGTTACCATATATTGGTAGCTATAAATAGGGAAATCCCAGAACCAAGACCATATCCCTTCTGGAGGAGTTCATCTAAACACATGACAATGATGCCAGCAAAGCAAAGTTGGATAATAATTAGAATGGCATTCCCAACCCCTAATTGGTTTACACTTCCATACATCCCTGATAGAACATAAGCAATTGCCTCTCCTATTGCAATCAAGATGCCTAGCAGCTTTTGAGCTCCGTTTCTGCAAAATAAAACTTTTATTAGAAGGATCCATAGACGATATTATGATATCATTTACTGTAGTGAAAAGATGAATTTATCTCCACTCTATCACATAGATTTAGGTATAAAAAATTAATGGGCAATAATGCATTTTCCAATTATCCCAAATAACGGGGTCATGTTTCAAGATGGTACAACTATTAAGGTAAAAACCAATTGGAAATTATCAATCCTGGCTATATTTTTAAGTTTATACATTTGTTGGTTTAAGTAACTTTACATGCTTAACTTCTTCCATACACTTTCTTTCAAATGCATTACGTACAATTAAAAAAGATACTTATTTTGTTCAAAGAGGACAAAAATGATTGCCTCACCAATAGCAGCCAAGAGCCCAAGATGTCTAACAGCTTTTTGAGCCCCGTTTCAGCAGAATAAATTTTCATTATGAAGATTCTCTGGGATATAATGGTATTGTCAAAGTATAATAATATAGTATAGTAATAGAGACCATACACCATAGGGTGTATAGCCCCTAAAGCATAGCCCATTACACTTAGAACCCCTATATAAACAATGTCTCGTGGTGTATAATGTTGTAAATGATACGTTAGAAAGTATCATGTTGTAAAATGTAATATGAAAGTCATGTCAATAAAAGTGGTAGTTTTTATGCAGTGAATATTATATAATGTGGTGAAATGACGATGTATCACATAAACTATGGAAGAAATGTAAATGCGAATATCATTCAAGACCAAAAGAAAAGATGAACGGGAGTCACTCACAAGAGTTCACGATCCTCTCTGACATTGTTGTCCACTTCAATGATTTTTGAACCAGCCAATAGCTGCATCACCATCCCAGCAGTCACAATTGGTGTTATTCCAAGCTCCATCACAGTACCGCGGTTTGACGCAAGAATAACACGCATCCAATAAAAGGGATCGGCGCCAGTTGTAGAATGTATGCCATATAGGGGGAGCTGACTGCACACCAGGAAGATGAAAAGGGAGATCACAGTGTATATGACCTTCTCTCTGAAGGGCACCTTCCTATCAGCACTCTGAACTTCTGGCAGAAACGAGAGGAAAGGCTTTACAAGATGCAGCACTCTGAATCCTCCACCCATCTTCACAAAACTCTGCATACAATTATACATGACACAACCATAGTTTTTGTGTTATACCAAAAGTTTATTAGAAAAAATTGTATAGTTCATAATTTTTCTCTTCTTTCTAAACCAACAACATGCACTGACTAAAGAAACAGAAACAATAATGTTTTTTTTAAAGAAGCACTCATGCAGATGCTCAAAACTGTATGATCTGCTTTCAAAATTGAAACTTTCGGAAATATCTCCCAACCTGAAGAATGCAGTGGTGAAAAAGGCCTACAGATCGAACTAAAACATCAAAAACTATACGGCTAACTGCAGATCCGTGGAGAGATGTTTCAGATTTAAAACACTGACCGCAGATCTAAAAATTCATCGATGACAAAAGCATCTTGCGATTCAAAGAGATATTTGAAACAAGCAACGGTTTTTGTTTGAGAACAATTGATAGGGTTTGAGGTTGAAGAAGGGGAGATTGAATATGAGGGAGATGAAAATGAATCAATAACATACCTTAATTGGACGATGGAGAACGCGGAATTGTCACAGTTGAAGCCTGAAGGTGAAATTAGGTTCAGTGCTTAAATTGAGGATGGATTTGCTAATCAGTAATCACTGCTGCTGCCCTCCAATTCTTCAACAAGGAGCATTTATTATTTGAAAGAAAAATACAGGGATTAAACGAAAGTGCTAGGATAACAAACTAAATTGCCATAAAATCCACAAATCTACTATTTGTGAATATAAATTTTAATTTTTAAATTAATTAAAATTATTTTGTGCTATTAGTGAGGTCCACAAATAGCATTTGCGAATATGAATTTTATTTTAAAATTAAATATAATTATTTTGTGCTATTGGTGAGTTCCATAAATAGTAAATTTGTGAATATTGCACTCATTTAGTTTGTAAATCTAACATTTGTCAAGAAAAATACTTTTTACTCTATCATGAAGAAATGCTGGTTTTAAAAACATAAAGGTTACAAAACACATAATCTTATTATTTGTGCACCTCACCGAAAGAAAAATTGATTTTAAATAATCAAAGAGTAATAACTGAAACACATAAATAATACGGAGTAAGATTATGTAAGTTGCGACCTTTTTTACTCTTATCTAATTTTTTATTTTGCTTTTTTCGGCATAAAGCCATAATTAATAAATTCTAAGCAAATGAACTATAAAATGTGAAATTTGCACCAAACAGTACTAAAACATATATTAATTCCCAAATTAATACTTAAACGTTTTATTCTCTAAATAGTACTTGAATAATGTCTAGTAACGAAAACAATATTCAGTGATGATAGATATTTAGTTTGAACAATGACCAGTAGCGGTGAACATTTACTTGAACAATGAGTAGTGGACAATGACCAGTGGTACTACATTGGGAAATAAAAACATACTCCCTGCTTCCCAAAATGTAAGTAAAACTCCACTATTTAAAAAATCACATGAACTTTTATTTGTTTTTGCATATACATTAATTATTTGATAAAATAAAAATTTCTCGTCGATCTCATGTTGGTACGAATGATTCTCTCTTTCTTGTTTTCTCTTATATCAATATTGAATGTATTTTTCCATAATTTGTAGTCAAATTTAAAAACATGACTGAAGAGTAAATCTGAAAGATTCAAAGGGGAGGGAGGGGCAATACTAGTAGTGAAATGACACACCAGAAAATAGTTTATTCTACGAAAAATAAACTACAAGGTAAATTGGAGCAGGAGTACATAACAAAATTACTCCCTCCGTCCCATTTTAAATTGCCTGTTTGCCTTTTTTCTCCGTCCCAAAATAAGTTGCCTGTTAGTTGTTTTCGTAAACTTTTAAAAATAAAATACCTAAACTACCCCTAAAATAACTCACTCTTCTTTACATTATCTTCTCATTCATCATCACCTCTTCTAAAAAGTAATGGCAATTTCGGAAAATCAACTCTATTTTTTATTTTCCTTAAATATGCCCAAAAATCAAAACAGACGATTTAAATTGGGACGGAGGGAGTAATAAATATTGCGTGGCCACTGCCACTCACGCAGCTCACTCGCGCTTGTAAGGACCAAGGGGGTAGTGTTTCGCGTGATCATGGCGTACATGGCATTGCTACGCCTGATCACAAGAGGGGGGTAGGGGGCGAGGAGCATCACAACTAGTCTAAGAAAACAGGGGTCGGAGATTGTTGGACAAGATGCATCAACCTTACGAAATGAACCCCACAAACACTGCGGTGGTTGCACAATGCTCAACCATTTCAGATTTTCAGTATCAAAACAAAAAAGATGCAAAAGGATAATGTACAAGTTAGGCACTTGAAAACGTGACTTAATTTCCAAGACTAAAATTATAGTTCAATTTAACACAATCCCCGTAATTGTCCGACACGGTCTGACCTTAGGGATTGGAGTTATCCTTTTTTTCTTATACAAATTCTTCCCATGTTTTTTTTTGTTGAGCTTAAAAGAGTGTCTTGGCTGTATAGTGTGAAAAAAAAGTACATCCTAAAGGTGGAATTCTAAATGCGCTAATTGGCTAATAAAGTCTTTAGCACTTGTAAACGGCTTAGAGCATTTTTTTTCTTTTACATGTTTCCATCATATGAGCACATATATTATGATCCGAAGTCCAGATTCACAAATCTCTTGCCACTGTTTGGTCGTCGAGTACATACTGTTTTTTCTATTTCGTTTTCTGCACCGGGGAGGATCCAGCAAAAAAAGTGTCGAATTATCACTGTCAATAGTTGTCTCAGGCAGGCAATTGAAGCTTCACATTGTTTTTCCAACTGCATAAAACGATCTCAGGCTCAGTAGGGCATAGTCACTTACAAAAGGGAAAAATAAAAAAACAAGGGGACAGTTTGATGCAACACTATACCTTATAAAGTAGTAGTAGAAGAAATCTGCATAAAGAGCAGTCTGAACAAGTCCAGCAATGCAAGCTTTGGGAAGAGGAAAGGAAAAAGGTTAGCAAGATGAGGATCTGTTTGGGAGAAAATTTATAAATCCCACTATCTATCTGACGTTTACTTACCAATCCATCTGCTGAAATGTGGCTCCGTGAAGTAACGGTAAATCCAGTTCAAGATGTAGAATGCTCGATAAGCCCTACAATGGTAGTAACACATATTCAATAATATTAACACATTCCTTGTGTTTCCTTTCCTTGGTAAAGACTAGAGACTAAGGACATACTCCCTATGTCCCAAAAAAAAACATGCTTCAAAACTTATTTTTTGGTCCCACGAACAGAATTCCATTGCAACAAAAGAAGCAATTTTGGTTGAATTTGATGTAAAGTTTCCATGAAAAGTTTGCTTAGGAAGTATGAAAATTTTTGTTTGATAAAACAACTAAACTTAAGCAACAGCTGAATGATTTGAAAGAGTTGAATATTTCCGGAATTGAAATATTGTACCTTGATAAAATAAGACTAGTTTTGGGTACTAAGAGTGTATATGTTTATGAGAGAGATAAATACAAATTGCAATGTGCTGCAGAACTAAGCTTAAAAGTATATAACAAGTGAATAGAGAATACCCAAGAAAGGCAACATATTGTCCAGTTAGATTGTCCACATTTCCACTTCTCTGCAACAAAACCAACTGTGGAAGAATAGCAACTGCCTCCAAGTAGATTGAAAACCCCCAGAATACCTACAAAAAAAAAATAATGTACATAACACTTAAGTATATGAAATTGCATTCAGGAATGCAATGCTTTGTGGGAATTGTGAGTCCAGAATAGCTATTACAGTATGCATCAGCAATGTGCTTAAAAGCTACAAAGAAGAAACATCTCACAAGCTTACACACTTAACCCAAATACTGACCAAGGTATCTTGTATGGAATATGTTTTTTATCCATTAAGCGCCCGCACAGAAAATATCAAAACACAGGAGATGCCCATCAGGCATCAGCAAAGCATCATTTAAACCAAACTAATGCCAAAATCCATAAATATCCACAAAGATATATTGTAGAGATTCAGACAGTTCAGCAGAAATACAGAGGCTGACCTCCAGAAATGTGAATTTCTCATGAACCAACAGAGCCAAAAGAAAACAAACAGCAACAAGAATCCAGTGACGGAAAGTGTCAAGCTCCCGATCATATGACCGCCTAACAGCTCGGTGAAACCTCATGCACCATACAATTGCCAATGAGCTTCCAATAAACACTATCTTCATGATGGTGTTGTAAACTGATATAAAATCAGTGAACAGGTCCATATATCTGGCCAAAAACACGATTGCGAACAACTCTTGGGTCTTTCGAGAAATTCCTAACAAATAGAAACAAATATTCAGTCATCAGAACTACACTAGCCAAAAAAGACAATACATAAACATAAATATAAACAATAAAAAATCTAGTTGACTAGTCAGCATAACCAAAAAAAACTCTAGCTGTTAGCTGGAGAATACACACAGAAAGGAGGTGCAGCAAAGCAAAGATCCAAAACATATTTTTAACTTGCAATGTATTCAATAATTGAAACATTAGAAACAATGGAAGTAATAAGTGACTTTGCAAGCAAATCAACTCAAGTTCCTTCACCATTGAACTGATTGAAGAAACGGAAGCCATTATAAGACTTGCACCCACAAGTACAACTGTACAAATGAAAGAGAAATCATAAAGAGAAATGAAAGCAAAGACAAATAAGCAGATATTCTCAAAGAGATGTATGCTATGCACATATTAAGGTTTTCAGTCAGTCTAATGAAGTAATAAAAAATGAGAAAAACAAAAGGAGACTCAGTTTCATGATAGTCTCTTATTTTCTGGAAGCTCTCAGCTAGAGCTAAAGCAACGCTGGTAAATGGTATATCCGAGTTATGTACTCCACATCCTAGTACATATGCACAGGTATACTCATATACATCATGCAACTATGCAAAAGGGATTCATCTAGTCAAACTTAACTTCAGTTTAGTGAGTAGCTCACAAAAAAAATCAACAACTATGCAGATTCAAACATATTCATTTCAAGCCTTGAAGCATATAAAAAATTAATCATCACACATCCCCATTGAAATTTAAGGTTAGATGGAGACCATGCCAGATAAATATAAAGCACATAATCAGGAGATCTTCACACGTATAAGCACAAACATGCTCAGATGCTCAATATCCATTAATCAATCATTCAACATCTGGAGTACTCGGTCCACCTTGACAAATCAAAGTAGAAAGAAGGAGCCAAATTGCATCATTTCATCCATTTCCAAGCATTTATCAAACATCATGCAATTAATCACATTAACCTCAACAGAGCATAGAGAACATAAACTTGCAAATACATATGGCGTAAACCTCATCCTCTCAGATTAGAGTTTATCAAATGGAGATCAGTTCAATATGATGGGATCGCATGCACATCAGAAGGACCAGACTCCTTTTCTTCATTGTATAATCCGTGCGGTCACTATTTTGCGTTACCAACACTAAATAAACAGACAATATAAACAAAAAAACCCTAAAATTCACCGTTTCAAATCCAACCGATCAGAATGTAAGACTGTTCCTGTACATTAAACCTCAAACGAGCAATAGATGAGTGTTGATCGAAATGAAACCTGAGCATGATTTAGTGGCGTAGATTTTGAGGAGGAGGATGAGAATGCTGATCAAATGCGTCATGTCGCCGGCGAGCCTGAAGATATTCATGGTTTCCGACGGCAGAGTAAGAAACTTGAGCCCTAGATTTTAGAGAGAGTGAAATGAAATTTTAGAGAGAGAAAGCTTCGGCGCTTCTGATGGTTGTGGAGGGAGAAGGGCGTCCTGCAGTTGCAAGTTTGGACGCATCACATTCCATTTCCTTTCAATTACGGAGGACTCATGTCCCATCTTGCAAATTTGAGAAATATGAGTCATAAATTAAAAGTTTTAAATCACAAAATTTATAAATTCATACCCCCTAATTTCTAAATTTCATTTTTAAAAAAGAATAATTTTTATAATTGGTTTTTATAATATAGACTTTTTCATATTTAGTCATTTACTATCAAATACTCATCTTGTCCTAATTTAAGTTGTCGGTGTTGCTATTTACATGGGGCCTGTTTGGGAACAGCTTTAGAGGTTAGAAATAGCGTTTAGAGTCAGAGTTTAGAGTTAGAGTTTAGCCTTTTATATCAGAGTTAGTGATTAACTGTTTTATTTTTTACCGTTTGGCTATGAAAAATTTTAAAAACTCAATACATTAAAATTACTAAAATACCCAAAGTATGTGGAGAAATCTTGAATGCATTGAGCAAAAAATAAAAATCTAACTTATTCTTGTGCATACTGTAGACATCACTTTAATTCTAAAATTTTATTTGGGGAAATCTTGAATACTGTATTTTTTTAAAAAATATTATTGAATTTAATTTGAAATTAAAATGAATTGAATTTGTTACCTACAAAGAATTGAATTCCTCAATGAGCAGCCTCTGCAAACCCTAATTTATCAAAGCCAAATCATGGCAAATCGTGGTTCGAGTTACTACGTGCCAACCAATTTCATGGGTAGAATTGGAAAAATTTTATAAAACGCCAAATCTCTTGGTTGAACGCTGGCCCGGGGAACGTCTTGCGTTAAGCGGTGCGCGAGAATTGGCGGTGAAGATAAGGCAAAAACGTTGGTCTTCTTTAGCGCAAAACAAACATCAATTAAATGTCGTTTAGCTTTTCTGCTCCAAAAAGCTTTTCCCAAACGCACCCATGGTCGAACTTTAACCAAGTACTTCATCTATTTTTGCTACTTGTTTGAAAAAATATGGTCTTGTTATCTCTTATTTTGTAGAACTTTTGCTGAAATTTTTAAATGTCTAAAATTTATTTTTTATTCCTTGCCAATTTTCATATAAATTAAATTGAAAATAATTCTAGTTAAACCTCGTAAACAACAACAAGCGATTCTTTTTTGGACGGATGGAGCATTACGTTTGTAGTCCTTTTATATGTTACTTTTCTATTGATAATCCTATTTTGACATTCTGTCATAGTAGTGTTAAATTGAGAGCTAAAATTATATGTTCACATTGACCCTATATTCAGTGACATATTCTACTATTTGTTTGACGGACAACACAATAATAATGATGTGGACTAGGATACTGGAGGTGGGTTCGATTTTGGCAATTCGATTTTCACCAAAGTCAAATACAAAACAGAAGATAAGTTGGTGGTTTGATCCGGTTCGGTTTTACACAAGAAATAGTTAAAACGTTGGCTATTTGGTTTGGTTTTATGCACTTTATATTTCTATTTTTTCAGTTTTTAAAAATAAAAATTTATAAGCATTAAAAAATTGTAACAACACTAACTCAATGAAGAAATAAAAATATGTAGCGTTGAGTTTGGTTTTTTTGTTCGATTTTTACCCAAAACAAAAAACCAACCACCAAGTCAGAGTTCGATTCGGTTTAGTTTTACGTAAAAAATATGTGTCGAGTACCCGACAAACATCTAAGACATTCCAAATACTCCCAAAACTTTTATATGTAGATATTTTTTTGGGAATAACCGTTGAGCAACGGAGTAGTTCTTGTCAAGTAACATTCAGTTGGACATGTCTAAAAAATTATAAATCCTCTTTCGAACAACATACAAAAAATTATCCAGTAATCCAAAATAGTTCGCTCTGGTAATCAACCGTCAGCAATTTAACAACAGTCTAAAACTCGTAAATTTTAATAAAAATTGAAAGGGAGAATATTTTTGAAGGAACAAATAAAATTGGGATTATTTTGAATAATTTTTCAAAATTTAAAAAAATCAATGGTTCTAGACTTTAGTTTCTAGAGTGCAAAGAGTCCATCCATGCAGAAATCAACTGCGACTCAAACTAGACGCCTCTTTTACCCTTCTCTCTCTCTCTCTCTCTCTCTTTCTCTCTCTATTCTATCCACAAACGGACACTATTTCACGGAATCACTTCGGCGACAGATATAGAGGAGGTAGAGTCGCCGGAAGGGCAAATTATCTCCGGAGTTCCGAGAAATTCATCCCCTGTAACTCTCTTTCTCCCCCTTTTAGATTCGATTCAAACACAGACGTAAGTTACTGAATCAGCTCGATTGCCCAGGTTTCCTGCGACTCGATACTATGGGCTGCGCTGGATCTCTGCATAAGAATGGAGATGGTAATCTTCTTCTTCTTTTCACATCATTCGTGCTATTGATTTGTAATTACAGCTGTTTAGGTTTGCGATTGTTTACTCTCCAAGTTCCTTGCCTGTATCCAGTCATAGTTTCATCTTATTGTGAAGTACTGATAATCACAATTTTAGAATTTCCACAATTGTCAATGCACAAATTAGACCAAATCTTGAAATATCTTCAATTACTAGTATGTTTAAGTAAACATTATAGAAAAAAAATGTTGATATAATGAAAGTTTTTATCATAACAAATCTAACAACGAAGTATATATGCATTTTTTTTTACTACAGGGAGGAAGTATGAAACAAGTGTATTATTTGAAATTGATGAGACTTAATCCACCTAGGTTGTCGTAGCATTGCCAGCAAAAAGTCTGATTAAACCAGCGTGATATAAGGGATCGTTACCAAACAAAATAAGATGACACGAAGATAGTATTCATTCATATGGAGTATATATTTTTCTTTAGGTATTTTGAGGTGAGTAGGCTTTTGGGAGTTTTGTCTCAAGTGTCAATCACCTCAGGTTAGTGGTTGATTAATTGGGGATTTGTTACTCCACTTTGAACTATTACTTTCACTGCTGTTTGCTGGATGTGTTTGTTATTGTTGTGGAGATATGGAGTTCATGAGTTGACCATAGAGGCCATTTTGAGCTCTAAACATTTTGGATCTATTATTATTTTGGAGACTAAATACGTAGAAATATAATCCATTTATAATAACCTACATACAATGTTGGAAAATAAATTGTCACAAAATTTAATAAATAAATCTAAATAACAATTTTTGAACTGAAAAAAGATTAGTTTTAAGAGAAGTCTGAAAAACAGAAATTGTTATTCCTCTATAAAAGAGCCAGATTAAATTTCATTTGGTGAACAGGCCCCTGAGTTCATCACACTACATTTGGTGGTATTTTATTTTGGGGTTGTGTTGGAGAAGAGAGGCCTTTTTATTAGAATGTTTGATTTTGGGTCGGAGAAGAGAAGCCTTTTTATTAGAATGTTTGATTTTTGGGAATTGAAGTTCCAAATTACAGATCATAATCATTTCAATGACTTTGCACTAGTGATTAGCCTTGACGTGGGAATGGAATTTCTTAATTGCTTGATAACTGGATTAAACTTTGGTGGAACTCAAGTCTAGCCAAATAGACCTTATAGACTTATTGTTAATGTTTAGACTTTAGAATATACTCTGTAGTTCATATGTGTTAAAAGCACATTGCAAATAAGATCTCAAAATCTCAATTCATTGTTGTTAGCCCTTCCTCTTCCTCATATTGGGTTGACACCCTCACACACCAGTGCACTTAGAACAATGGGCTCATTCTCGATGCACTTAACATCTTACAGTGCAACGTGATTCTCGTTTGGTGTACGTAATTACGCAACATCATCATTCATCAGTCATCACCTCATTGAAGAAAATAGGAAGTATAGTTGGAAGTTTACCAAAGTAAGAGTCAAAAGAAGCGTAGAATATTGCCTTTCAAAACATGTAATTAGATGGAAGCTTAAGGAGCTGAAACCTATATTATCAAATAATTGTCTATGTTTAACTAACATTATAAACTCATGTAAAAAGCATAGTGGTGACATCTTATGAAAGAATAATGTGGTTGAAACTCCCAAACAGTTTTCATATGTCTTCTTCATTTTCATGGATATTGATGGTATGAGATAGCTGCTATAGACATGTCCCACGACTCCCATTTAAATAATGGCATTGTACAATTAGCAAGCACATCACGTAACACCATAGCACACTAAAATTTCTGGATCAAGTTTCACTGTACTTAAGATTTTGTGATGCTGCAGCTTACCTAAACCTTCTATGTTGTTCGTGAGTGCAGATGCTGTCAACCCTGTTAAGATACGGAAGCCAAAACCCTGGAAACATTCATCAGAATTAACAAAGGATGAACTTTTAAGGATGCGCGTTGAATTTTGGGACACTGCTCCACACTATGGTGGTCAGAAAGGTTTTATTTTCCTCCATGACTTTTTAGAAGAATTTCTTGATGAATATACGGAGTAAATTCTTTAGATACACATGTGCATCTGCATGCCCCAGTTGACCTCGTGGCTGGACAATGTGACTGCCAAAAATGGTTTTTTTCAATCTCTTCATTTTCCAAAAAGTGATTGATATAATTAGTTTTTTCTTTATTATCTATAGAAAATGTTTCTTCCCATAAAACTCACAATACTTTCCGGGGGCAGAGGCGCATGAAATGTTTTTGTGACATGCCCATAAATAAATGCATGTCCCATTGTTCATTTCTCAAGCAACTTCTAGTGTGAACCAAGAGCTTATGCTTTGTGAAGAAATCTGCCCAGTTCAAAGCTGATTTGCAGTATGTTCTTATTTTGTACTCTACATGACAACTTTTCCAGAAATCTGGGATGCACTCAAGGTAGCCATAGAGGCGATAGAGGAGAAAAACATTACACAGGCTCAAGCTATAGTGAACAGTGCTGGTATTATTGTCGATGTTTCTGACATGACAGTCTGCTATGATGAGCGAGGTAGGTTCATTTCCCACTTCCTTCCGTCTCTCTTCTGTGTGGGCTTTTGTCTAGCCATGATGTTGGGAAGCCTATACTCCGTATATGGTTATGCTAATACAAATCTTCCTGAGACTTATTTTCCTTTCGTGTCGTTGCAGGTGCTAAGTACGAGTTGCCGAAGTACGTGTTGAGTGAACCAACAAACATGAAACACACATGAGAGGCCGAGAGCTATAAGACCGAGGGACAAATGGGATGCTTGGTTGTTGGAAATGTAAAGGTATAACAAGTTGATTTTAGTCAATCTCTCTACAGTTCGTTTTGTGTTTCCGGGCATGTATGAAAAACATACTGTTTTAGCAAACTATATGTATCGTTGTAGTGACTTGAGCGGTATTTGGTTACTGCCCATATGCCCCTCAAAACTTAGAAACATGGTCAGGTATCCCATATTGAACGGATCATTATGACTTTTATGATACATGAAAAATTGAATGAATCTAGACATGATGTATGCTCGTATTCATTCAACTTTTGATTTATCACAATTGTCATGATGGTCAGATGAATCTGAATGAAGGGAATGCTGAGTAGGAATTCAGTGGTTGTCTTAACGCTCTTCGATTATTTTTTACATTTGTTTTTTATTCGTTTTCTAGCATGTGCGATGTGCGCGCACGTGTACATAATGTACCAAATACAAAGCCAAGTTTCCCATTCTTTTTAAACTCATAAAAAAATTTAAAATTAAAAAAAAAAACAGAACAGTTTGTATATACTCCGGTACTATGTATAGATTTTTATTGTTCTATATTGATCAGTTTAGTTTGCTGTGTACAATGTGATTATTTTTGTAGTTGAAAATGGTTGTGTTCAATATAATCTTTTAAAGTTGACTACTTGTATTAT